ATCCCAGTAATTATCCTTCATTCTCATTAATCTTTGTATCTAATGTTCCTGTGATGCTTTTCTTTTTCAAATGGCAAACTAGCAGCCAAACATCCATCATCTTTAGTATAACTGTTATATTTATTTTCCAATTTTCTGGCTCTCTGCTACAATATAAACTCTTTAAGAACAAGAAGCTGTTTTGATTACTATTATGTACCCTGTAGCATCCTTTGTGACAGGAGAGAAAGCAAACTCATTTCATAGTTGTTTAATCGGTATACAAATTTTTTTGTACCTGCACTGTTAATCCTTCATAGAATTTCTCTGAGGAAGGAAAACATATAAGAATTGTTTTATTTTGTGTATCACATGTTTAAAGACATTTAGCATTATGGAGAATGCCTCATTGTCATAAATTCTACTACCTTAGACACATAGTACACGTGACTTGTTATTTTCTTCAGTGCAAGGTCACTTAAATCTAAAGTAGTTCCTGGAAATTTATGTAACCAAGAATCTAATCTGGACTGGGAATGCCAGAAAGAATCTTGTGTCTTTTGAAAATGGTACTAATACAGATGTTGAAGGTGAATAGTTAAAATAACATACTGAGTGTAAATACAGATGGCTTTCATTGAATTCTTCACATTTAGTGAAGGATATCATAAATATGTATCATTCAATACTATTTAAATAATACATGAATAAAAACTGTTTGTACAGGGCTGGGGAATTAGCTCAGTGGTGCCACCACCTGCCTCAAGAGCCTGAAGTCTGGAGTCCGAACTGCACTACCAAAACAAAACAAAACAAACAAACAAACAAAAAAGACTGTTCGTACATATCAAATGCCAGATGTCTAAAGGGGTTGATATTCCTAAAATAAGAAAAATTACTATTTTACAGAGATAATTTTGATTATTTTGCCTCAAGAATTTACTAATTTACGTTAACATTTACTTTATGTAATGTGCTCTTTTTCAGGACCATAAAGCTTTGCTAGGAAGAACCCTGACAACTTCACAGCAAGATGAAGTTCCTTCTGTTGCTCTCAGCCATCGGGCTGTGCTGGGCTCAGTATTCCCTGAACATGAAGCAGGGATGCACATCCATTTTCCACCTGTTCAAGTGGCACTGGGCCAACATTGTGTGGTGGTCCAACCGTCAAAACATGAACATGCCTGAGTTGGGGAGGATTGAGAAAGGAAAGAACACTCAAGCCTGAGTGGAGACCAAGAGAAGTCTGATTTATTTCATAGAAACAGCTCCTTTTAAAGGCTCACATCAACAGGAAGCACCTGACTCCTACAGATACCATCAGATCTTTGGCTATCTCTTCAAGTTTCTCCCATCACAGGGTCAAAAACAAATTTAACATGTGCAGTCCTTAAAAAGGAACAAATGTTAACAAATGCTAATTAGGAACATCCTGACCGCACATTGTGTCAATGCCTTGATTATAAAGAAAGAAGTTAGCTTTCAAATGTCAAATGCCAGTGGGTCATGACTGGCTCCCACATTTCCCCCTTTTTTATTATATTTAGAGCAGGGACTTTCCCAGCTCAGCAGAAAGGCTGTGCCTGTCTTAGGTGAGAAATGTCCAGAGAAATCCCTTACCCATTCATCAAGCCATGAGAAATGTAATACTCATTCTCTGTCTTAGGTTGGTTATTTCTCCACAATTCTCTTACCCGTCTTTGACTACCAGACTCTGCAGGGGTTATACCATAGGTTGTGCAGGCTTGACATATAGCTTTCTACCTCTACCAACATTTGTAACCCTTGATCCTCATACCAGGACTCATTAATTTTTACAGGCATCATTATGAAGAGAGGTTGCCTCAAAACCATCACAGAATGAAAGGAAGTTACCATTTCTGAGAATATACAATTGGTCAATTTACAATTAAAATAGCTGTTATATTTATTATCATTTTCATAAACAACCTCTATATTTTTTTACTAATAACATGTAAGGAGCATTAACACAAGACATTATATTAGAGGTCCCTATGCCAACAATATTGAAACTAAGGCTAGTAACTTTGACATCTGACCATAAGGGTATTTCTCCCAATGCAGCAGCAAGTTTCCAAATGTTGGTTTGAGGAAAATGTGAATCTGTCCACCAAAATCCTGCAGATAAGTTTAAATCTATGGAATTTTGAAGTGACCAGTCCAAAACTTTTGAGATGTATCATTAAATAACCTTTCCTGAGGTATAGTAATATAACATCTTTTCCATAAAATCATAGTATTAAGGACTGTGGAGGTTCACCAGTCCCATTAAATCCTCATTCTGGATAAAGAAGGGAAACTTTTTGCTTTTTGGAATGAAATTTCCACTTGTGCACCAAGACACATCCTGGAGTTTTCTCTGCTGCTTCAGTGTTGGGGTCCCAATCTGGTCTCCTCAGTGGAAACCCAGATTCAAGCTGTTCAGGGATAGTGGGAGGTCTATAAATGTACCTGTAACCATAAGTAGGTAGAGCAGAAGAGAAGGGAGAATACCTGGACCAAAAGGTTATTATCATAAACAATATGCTGGAAAACCTTCATGGTCAAACAATATAAATACATTTTGTATACCAGAAAAGTAGCAATAATAATTATTATAATTATATGAAATCTTATGTCCTGTAATGTAGCTTTGTATCAACAGGATCTTCCAGAAATTATATTTTGAAGATAACTAACATAAACATGTTACAATAACATATTTAGAATTCAGCCTTTTGATGATAACCAATGTAAACATTTTTAACAACATATTTAACAAGGCATATCTTTTTATAAGGTTATGAAAATTATTTTGGTGGCTCCCATTAGTGAACAAAGATCAGAATAAATTTTCTGAGCAGCTGCTTCTTTATTTACCAACAGGAGTGTATCCAAATTTAAAGGTTTATATTTAATTATCTTTTAAGTTTTTTATTTAATCCTATAAAGCCAGGTTGTAGAAATCAATCTATTTGTATTTGATGTTATTTTGATAAAAAACAATCAAACATTTTTGAACACTTAGACAAACATATAAGACAATTTAAATGAGTGCACTCAGATGGTTTTGGCCAAATGAACTATAAAATCGTTTAGTTATGACTAGTCAAAACTTTTGTAGGTCAAAATTAACAGAGATCTCTTGTAGAATTAGGGTTAAAGGAATGAAAACTCTTCTTGACTGTAAATGTAAGCCTTTTATAACAAACTTGAAACCAACAAGCAAGCATAAATAAATGATTTCCACACACCTTCTTTACATATGTAGGCCTTCTGGTCTTGTATATCTTTCTTTATCTGTTTTTAACAAGATGAACATACAAAAACCTTTCATGTCAAAAGTATAACTTTTACTTATAGCTTTCCTAATATTTTTCTGTCTCATTTACTATTACCTTCTATAACAAACTTCAGCTTAAAGTGTCCTTTTTCTGTTTTCAGATTGTTACATCTTAAAATTTGACTGGCTGCCAATAGAACAGTATTAACCTTGAGTTTTTAGAAAAGAGCAAGTTAATCCTATAATCACAGATTAAGAATTTGCAATGCACAAGAAGTGTTACCAAACTAAATAGTTTTACTAGTAGCTGACTGTCACAGAGCAGTTTGATCAACTCCTAGGCTGGGTTGTTTTGAAATCTACTTAATTATGGGGAATCCAAGGTCAGCTGCAGTCCAACTGACTTCCTGGAAATGACTTAAAATCAAGGTGAGCTGGTTAGATGAGCTTCTTGTCATCCTGTCAGAAAATTCAAAATAAGCAAGCAGACAAACAAGGAAATAAAGGAGACCAAATAAGATATAGGACCAAGGCTTATGAAAACCAAACCAAAAGTAGAACCAGAGGTCTCATGAGTAGTTTCCTCTAGATTTTTTTTTTAAACCAAAAGGATGGTGTCCTGACCAAGGGGGTTTGGGAGGTCTCCCAGACCCTGTGGCGCAGAGTCCATTAGCAGATCTGCCTGGATCTCTGGGCCTCCAAAATGATCCTGATCACAAATTACCAGTTAACAATTATCAGACATTAACAGGAAGAGAAAGACACAGAAGCAAAACAAAAAGGACAAGCACTCACCGATTGGTTTGTAAAGTTTAAGTGCTCAATGCCATAGGGGTCTTTTAGGGGCAGCTTCGATCTCTAGCAAGCATCTCATAATTAGCGTTTAACCCTCTCTGTGTCCTATTTAATTTTGCTGTTTTTTGACACTGTTTTCCAAATTCAGTCTTCTACCAAAGGAAATTGCCCCACCAGGCAAGCTTTAGCTATTTGTTTTCAATCAAAAGGAGGTAAAGCATCAGTTGTCAGAGAATCAAGCATTGCTAAAGTAAAAGGGGCTGTTGGTCCATATTAGGTGCAAGCCATTTTCATTTTTTTAATTGTTTAAAAGGAATTGGAGCATGTTGATGAATGGGGTTTTCCTGAGCATTTCGAGCATCAAAGACTGGGCAGATAAGGGAAAATCCAGATAAATCTTTCTCAATATTTAAAGCTTAATGTAAGCCTTGTTGAACAGGGGACAAAAGAGGTTGAGAATTGATCTTAACAGGTTTTTTAACTTTTAAGGGGCTGTGAACCTACAGCAACCAAAGAGGGCTCTCTCTCTCTCTCTCTCTCTCTCTCT